ATAAGTCAAAATCAGTCGGTTTTGATTTTGTTCATCCATATGTTTTAAAAGAATGCAGCTCGTCAATATCATACCCATTATATTTAATTTTCAAAAAGTCGATGGAAACAGGACCCTACCAGATGTGTGGAAGAAGGCAAATGTAATGCCACTTTTTAAAAAAGGAAGCAAATTAAAAGCATCTAACTACAGACCAGTCTCGTTAACTTCAATACCATGTAAAGTGTTAGAAAGAATAACAGCTGATTGTATCATGCAACATCTCATAAAAAATAATTTAGTAATAGTAATAGTAGTAGTAATATTTATTGCTGTAACAATTACATATTTGTTTGAATATAAATATTTAAAAATAAAATAAATTGTGGAACGCGATGCAAGTATCGGGTTATAGACAGCCCACACAAATTAAAAAAACACAAGTTATGAAAAATGTTTATCTATTCGCGCTTTGAAAACATTCAACGATGTTGCTTCAATGATTTCATTTGGTAACAAATTCCAATTTTTACAAACTCGATTGGTAAAAAAATTATATCTCGGTAAACATGATGGTACGTATTCTCTTTCTAGCCTGTATTTATTGCTCCTTACAGAAAAAGCCGGGCCTGAACTAGTCACGGATGATGCCGGTTTTGGATTTTTGTACCAATTTATTTGGTCTATATTTTGCTTGAATCTGTATTGTTGTATAAGATCTCCTCTAGCTCGTCTTTTCTCTAATATTGTTAAACCCATTGCTTTCAGTCTTTTTTCATATGAAATCTTTTTAAGTTGTGGAACTAACTTCGTTGCTCTTCTTTGCACTTTCTCTAACTCATCAATATCCCGTTGTAAATAAGGCTGCCATGCAGGTTTAGCGAACTCAAGAAGCGGTCTCACAAATGTCGTATATAGTGATTTCACCATTTCCACATCGAAGTATGTAAACGTAAGTTTAATTAGACCCAAAGTTCTTTGTGCTTTTGCTGTCGCTGAAGTCACTTGATCATGCCATTTAAGGTCGGATGAAATAATCACTCCTAAATCTCTTTCACTTACTGTTGTTTTTAATTTATACTCTTTGCCGTCGTGATTCATACAATAACTCATACGTGGATTTTTTTTACCTAAATGCATCACCTTGCACTTTTCGATGTTCAACTTTGTCAACCAGATATCCGTCCATTTTACAAATTCGTTAATGTCATTCTGCAAAGACTCATAATCTTCAACATTTTTTATAACTTTGATAAGTTTACTGTCATCTGCATATAATTTGCAATTGGAATTAATAAATGATGGTAGATCATTTACGAATATCAAGAATAACAAAGGACCAAGCACAGAGCCTTGAGGCACACCACTAAAAATCTCAAGCCATGGAGACACGTCTACACCCATCACAACTCTTTGCCTTCTTTCTTTTAAAAAAGACGATATCTAGTCATTTATTACACCCTTGATACCATATGCTTCACACTTTTTCAACAGTCTTTTATGTGGAATCTTATCAAAGGCTTTGGCAAAATCCATATAAATCATATCTACCGCTAAACTGTCACTCATGCTTGCTGTTAAAATGTCTAATGTTTCTAGCAAATTTGTTACACAGGCTTTATTTTTTACGAAGCCATGTTGATTTTTTGATAGCAATTTATTTTCCATCAGATGAGTCATTATTGCTTCTTTTATGAATGCTTCCATAACTTTGCCTGGTACAGATGTTAATGATACGGGTCTGTAGTTAAGCGGCTCTGTTGTATTTCCATTCTTGAATATTGGAGTAATATTTGCTTCTTTCCATTTGCTAGGAATTTTTCCTGTTTCAATTGATTTTCGGTAAATTTACTTTCAAAAAAACAACATGGTTTTATGAAAAGCAAGAGCTGTACAACAAACCTATTAGAATACCTAGATATTTTAACAGATGCGTTCCACAATAGAACACCGGTAGATGTACTGTATACAGATTTTAAAAAAGCTTTTGATAGTGTTTCACATAAATAGTTATTATCCAAGTTATTGACTTTTGGTATTTCTGGTAAACTTCTTACGTGGATAGTCTGTTTTTTAGCTAACAGAAAACAAAGAGTGGTTTTAGGTAAAAGTGTGACAGATTGGGTTGATGTACTTAGTGGTGTACTACAAGGGTCTGTTCTAGGTCCTCTCCTTTTTTTGGTATTTATAAATGATTTACCAGAAAATTTTATTAATGAATGTCGTTTATATGCTGATGATAATAAGATAATTGCACCTATTTCTTCTCAAAATGATTCACAATTGTTTCAAAATGATATAAATAAACTTGGCGAATGGTCAACAAAATGGAAATTAGGATTAAATTTTGAAAAATTTAAAATTATGCACTTTGGTTCAAATAATAACGAATATTCATATTTTATGAACAATAACAATACATTAATGGAAATTGAAAATTCAAAACTAGAAAAAGACATTGGTGTTTATATATCAAGTGATTTAAAATGGGCCAAACAAGTAAAATATGCAGCTAGTAAAGCAAATAGTATACTCTCACTACTAAATAATACATTCAAGGACAAGGATAAATATCTAATAAAAACGCTGTATTGTACATATGTTAGACCAAATTTAGAGTTTTCAATTCAAGCATGGAGTCCGTATTATACAAAAGATATTAATGAACTAAAAAAAGTCCAACGAAGAGCTACCAAAATGATACCGGAGCTAAGACATCTTGATTACAAAAAAAGATTGGAAATTTTGGGTTTGACTACTTTGGAGACTAGAAGGCTAAAGTGCGATTTAATCCAGCAATTCAAAATATTTAAAGCTATTGAAATTATTGATATTAAACAAAATCAAACAATGAACTCTATTTGCTCATCAGGTCCTGCAGCTAACATTAGAGGAGCAAAACATCGAATGAAACCTGAATTGGTCAGAAATTGTTTGAAAAGGCAATATTTTTTCAGCAATAGAGTTGTCGATGGATGGAATAGTCTACCAGCCGAAGTTGTTCAATCTAAAGTTAAAAGCTTCAAATTAAACTTGCAATCGGTCGACTTAGAAGCAATAACAAACAAGATAAAAACCAAGAAAGCTTATTATTAACGTTTTTATTATTTAGTGACTGAACTAACTTGTTCATTAATTAATTTATTCCGGCTGTCATAGATATTGCCTGGCGCTTTATCTCAACAGCATTAATTAATAATAATAAATATTATAATGGCGAAAAAATACCACAAAAATACATTTATAAACTATTTTTTTAAAACTTGAATTTTTAATCTATCACGTGATTTAATGTTTTAAATACTTTTTCGTGAATATTAAGTCATTATTTAAAAAATAAAAGTTTATAAATCATCCACAAAGATCTCCCTGTTAAATGAATTAAAAAAATCATATGAGTTTAAATTACACTTTTATAAAGTACTAAAAATTTCGGATTAAGAGATTAAAGTTAATCTGAGATACTGTGTTTTGAAGTTTATGTTAAACCATGGAAGTATAAATCAGATGGAAGTTCTTCGAGCCGCAAACATCAAAGCAATTTCAAGTCGTCTCGGGAGTATGCTTGTAACCGACAATTTAAAAAAAAACAAGTTTCACTGGATAAAAAAACAACAAAATTCACTGAAATGATTTTTATTAAAACATTAAAAAATGAATTATTCTAGGGATATGTTGCAAATTTTTAACCATTAGTAATTTCAATTATTCAACAAAAGCTTTATTAAAACTCGGTAATTAAATAGAACCACCTGATTTTAAAAGCATATGTTAGTTTAAGCTTCTTTTCTTGCTTCAAGTCATAACACGACATTTGATAAAAAAGACAACTAAAACAATTTTTAAAAAATCAAAAATACTGTTTTCTAAGTAACTAAAGTTTAAAGTTTTTATTAGCTGTATATGAGCTCCATTCATTCTTGTAGTACTCCATTCATTTAATATAAAGTTTATAAAAAAGTTGTTGTCTGCCGTTACGTTGCGCCATTTTTAATGTTTTTCATGAATATTATTGGCGAACCTTCAAAATACTATATTTTTAAATTATTATAAACGTATCTATTTGCGTCTACGTATAAAGATAAAGCGTTTAAGTACAGTCTTGATGTCGTTTTCTTATTGTTTACGAAGCAAAAGGTTACAAGCATAGTCCCGAAGAATTTCAATGCGGTTGAACTTCCATCTGTTTTATACTTCCATGGTTAAACCAAATAAGAACTGATAAAAACAGCTTTGAAAAACTATAGATATATTACTGAATAAATTATTTAATAATAAATATTAAAATTTTTTTAATTAATTTTTCAATAATATTATTTATTATAACAATGCTCTAGAAACATAACTTTCACAAAACTCATTGATTTTCTCATCATCTAAGTAAATTATAGTAAATTATAAAAATGATATCAAGCATGCAAGGCTTGAATTTGAGCTTATTTTTTTGTGGGAGAAAAGGCCCCAGCAAACAAGTTAAATATTTAGCCTCGCCTAGAAAAAAAAATGAACTATTAGGCCTCGCCGTTTCAAAAAAAAAAAAAAAAAAAAAGAAGGAGAATGCTCATTTCTTGAGATAAATTATTTAGTTCTAAAATATTGATTAAAAGTTTTTGATAAACTTGATGTAAGTTCTTAAAAATAATAAAAAATCAGAATAAAAATCTTCCAAATTAACTTCTGAAATTAATCAGTCTAAAACTTTGTTGCTTTATGCGATAATCATATTTTTAAATTATTCTTTGACAAAAGGGTTTCTTTAATTAGTAATTTTGTAAGCTAATAGATACTTATATCTGTAAGATGCCTACATTCTTTATTAACTTTTATTAAATACTTATTGTTTTAAATGTTAAAAAAATTGTAAAAAAAGTTTGTGTTATGTAATAATGCTGTCAGTTGCCGTATTGTCTCGTGTTAGTTGAGTCAAAAATATTTAAAATAAAATAAGCTCCATGCTCAGAACAATATATTATTATTTACTATAACATAAATTTTAAAGTATTATCAAGACTTATTTTTACCATTTTTTTGATTAAGTACCAACTATTCAAAAATATTCTGCTTCTTTAAGTCAATCTAGATTTTATTAATAAAAAAAAGCCAACAAAAATTACGCTTCACAGTCGATGATAATTTTGGAAAAATGCTTGTTTAGTTTTCAAATTAAACATAAGTAAACAAAAACAATTTTGAAGATATTGGTAGACGTCCTTTTATAAAATATGAACTAATTTTTTTGTTTGTTTGTTTGTTTATTATGGCTGTAATATCGCCGTTTAAAAATATTTTCAATATAAACAAAATTAATGAGTGAAACTAGAATAAAATGAATATGAAAAAAATAAATGACTGAAGCTAGGAAAAACTTTTTAACTTGCCGAAAACAAATTTTTTTAATATGTTTATTATAGTTTTGCTTGACAAAATTGTTACAGTTATTTAGGAAATTTATTATACCCAAATATAAATGTTATAATTAGTTCTTTCTAAATTGTAACTAACGTCATCATTCAGCTCCTTTAATTTTTTATTTCAAAGACTAAAATTTGTTGCTTCTCTTGTTGCAAAAATATTTTAGTATTATCCTTTTTCTCGTGCGCTTAAAAATATCATTTTATTTATTAATAAAACTTATGTAAATTAATTTAAAGATCATATCTGAATCTTATAGGTATATGCGATAGGTAATTTTAACATGGTAATATTTTAAATAAGGTAGGTTACAGTAGAAAATATTTTCATTGCTGCTGTAATATACCAATACACAAAAAAGATAAACAATTTAGGACTTTTGAATCACTATCAAACAAGTAATAAGCCAACTTTCAAAGATTTTTGGAAAAAATTACACTTCATTATCTAATTTAAGGTATAAGACCCCTCAAAGTACATAAAAATTTCAAAAAAAATAATTTGTGTATTTCTTACACGAAATTTATCGCTGAATCCGAACTTGAAAACTTTTTTTAAAAATAAGGCTTAGTTCTTGAGATATAAAAGGTTTCCTTCAACTGGGTAAATTTGATCTGCTTAGCAACACGCATAGCAACGGTTTTTTTTATAAGAATTGCCAGCTATTTAGTTATTTTTGTGTTATTTAATAAACTTTTTCAATAATGGGTAAATCATGCAGAGTTAAACAAAGTACTCAAAGTAAAAAATCCAGAAGATTTCATGGAAGTAGGTATACCAAAAATTTGACAAACAATTCAACTTTATCAGTAGCTCCTGTTAATAACAATGTTACCTGTTCTGAAAATGACCTTATTTTCAATAATAATTCATTAGATTTATCTATATCCTCGAAAAAAGTTGAAAAAATTGAAACACCACATCAAAGTAATAATAAAACTGTTGGTTATCGTATTATTGACATTGAAATTTTATGTGGTGTAATAAGTCAATTATGTAGCAAAAATTGTTTACAATCTGGATTATTTCTTGAAGAATGTTTTCCTAAAAAAAAAGGTTTTAGCTCGATGTTGAATATATGCTGCCCTAATTGCAACAAAAAAATTGAATTTTATACTTCAAAGACATGCTCTGGGAAGAAAAATTTTGATGTAAATAATAGAATAATTTATTCTATGCGTGCATGTGGTCAAGGTTATTCAAGATTAGAAAAATTTACTTCTTTAATGAACATTCCTACACCAATGACTAAGAACATTTACAACAAAATAATTAAACATGTCTCTGATTGTGCTAAAGTTGTTGCAAAAGAAACAATGTCTGACGCTGTTAAAGATATTTTTGAATCTTCTTCAAATATTGTTGATACTGCAGTATCAGTTGATGGTAGCTGGCAACGTCGTGGATTTTCCTCATTAAATGGAGTGGTTACTGCTATATCAATGGACACAGGTAAAATTCTTGATTGTGAACCAATGAGTTGATCATGTAAAGCATGTAGTTTAAAACTAAAACTTAAAGAAAATAACCCAAATGCCTTTGAAGCTTGGAAATCATCACATGTATGTAAACTAAATTGTCGTGGCTCTGCTCCTGGAATGGAAGTAACTGGCGCTCAAAGAATATTTAGCCGTTCTATTTCACAAAATAAACTGAGGTATGTAAAGTATTATGGTGACGGTGATTGTAAAAGCTATTCGTATGTTAAAGATACTTATCCTGGTATAACAGTGTGTAAGTTGGAGTGTGTTGGACATGTACAGAAACGTGTTGGTAGCAGATTGCTAATTTTGAAAAAAAATGTAAAAGGACTTGGAGGCAAAGGCAAATTAACAAATGCTATAATTGATCGCCTACAAAACTACTATGGAATTGCTGTTAGGCAAAATGCCAATTATTTAGAAGGTATGAAAAAGGCTATACTTGCAACATTGTTTCATGTTGCATCATCAGCTGAAAATAATTGGCATGCTCATTGCCCAGATGGTATCAATAGTTGGTGTCGTTATAAACAGGATAAAGCTAATTTAACGTCTACCTACAAGCCAGGTGCTGGTCTTCCACTCTCAGTTGTCAGTCATCTAAAGCCTATATATATAGATTTATCTCAAGAAGAACTCTTAAAAAAATGCCTTCATGGTAAAACCCAAAACCAGAATGAAAGTTTTAATTGAATGATATGGCAGCGCATACCTAAAACAAAGTATGTTTCATTAAAGCAGTTGGAGTTAAGAGTTTATAATGCTGTTTCAAATTTTAATATTGGAAGAAAAGCAAGCATACTTTTGTTTGAAAAGTTGAAAATGATTCCTGGTATTTATACTCTCCAAGGCTGTTCAATCATGAACAAAAAGCGCTTAGTTTTTGCAGAATATCAAAATCGGATTACATCTAAAAAGCGACGAAAAGTTATTCGTGGATGCAAAAAAAAAAAGGATGATGCAGAGAATGATCAAGAAGGTTGTCTTTATGACCCTGGTTCATGTTCATATAAATAAAAGTTTTTCAATTGAGTATACGAGAGAAAATATTATGAAAATTTATGAATATAATATTCAAACGAGTTTTTCTCAAAATGTAAATTTTTGACCTCCCGGCCATCCTATCTCATTAACCGTAAGTTAAATTTGTATGAAATTTTCACCAAATGTTTATTGCATCTGGTTGTACAATTGGAATTAAAAGTTTTTTAATGCAATCAAGAGTTTTTGATTTATAGAAGTTTCAAGTGACAAAAAAATCATATTTTTAGTACGCCATTTTGAAAATTTCATTATAGGTCAAGTAATAAGTTTTTTTAAATAATTTTAGTTCAGTTTTTAGATCAATATGTTATTAACCATATGCCAAAAATTCATAACCTACATGCTTTCAGTTACTGAGATAGCTTGACCGGGGAAACTTAAATATTTTTAAATGTCGGCCAATTTGCTTGGTAGCCATGACAATTAATAAATTTATTTTGTATTTTTTTAAATCCTTTTATCTATTTGTTTCTCAAGATAAAATTGTTTTTTTGTTAAAAAACTTTTTTTAATAATTTTTTTTTTGAGGGGTCTTATACCTTAATGTCTGAAATTTAATATCTGAAATCAATGTTATGCCCCAGTTATTTAAATACATCTAAAATAATTTATTTTTACCATTTTATTTAAATAGCTTTAGTTGGTTCTATGTATTTTATTGTGCCGGGTCAATACATGTCCATTATCCTTAAATATATTAAAATACCACAGTGCGAATTGGACGTTCTAAGATATCCGACAGACATCGAGTGGACGATTAGACGTCTAAGGAAGTCCAATGTCAATCAGACTTTCATTTTCTCTTCATACTTTCTAAAAATTATTGTAGTTGTAATTATTGTATTGTTGGTCTAAATGTAATGCCTGGATTGGTTAGTTTTTATCAAACAGTTATAATAAAATATAAAATTTGCTGTAAAAACTGATGTACAGATGTTACTTTAAAAAACGCAATTTTTACATTTCAAATTTGAGTGAATAAACAGTACTAACACAAGAGCTATTTTTACAATTAATCTTGTCATTTCAACATAACCTATAAAAAAATTTGAAGTCTATAAAAACATTATATGTACCTTTTAAAATTTGTTTAGGTTTTTGATTCAAAAATAATACTTTTAAATATATTGTTTTTATTGTTACCAATATTATTGTAATTCATTTTTATAATTCTTTTAGATACAAAAAGCAATTTTATTATTAAATCATAAATAAATATAAATAATATTCAACTCGTATTGTTTGTACATATAGGCAACGACAATTTAACATTTTATCCAGCATGCTCAACCAACCAGTACGTTCTAAAAAAGTATTTATAAAGAAAGGCAAAAAGGAAGAACTTTTATTGGTTTTTATTTTTTAGTTGTTTTGCATCTAAATGATTGCATAGCTTACAGTAAGTTAAATAACTATGTATAAAATAAAAATGCAAATTTTAAAACCTAAAATTTAAAAATGTTTTTGCTCTATATTTTTAAGATTTTTTTTTTTAAAGTTTTTATATTGTTTCTATGGAAGCATATTGTTTTCGTGATTTTGATCGATGTTCGCTCCTAAAAAAGTAACGAATGCTTGCAGGTTATTTTTAGTTTTATTAATTAGAGTAGAATTGGAGAATAATTGGATTGGGTAGAATAAGAGGTAAATCTTCTGTATTGCTCGGTTTGTGGAAAAGACAATTTTTTTTTTGTTGAACATTCGAAGACCAATTGTAGCGTATAATCCATTAATTTTTTTATTTTAGTTTTTCATTTACTACTTTAAAAAATATTTCAATACTTTTATAAGAATAAAAAAGATTGTCATCTGCAAAGAAAATAAAATTTAATAGATTTGATATTAAGATAAACCATTTATGTATAGAAAGAAAATTAAAGGTCCTAAATTAGAACCTTGTGGAACTCCACAAGATCACATTGTACGTATTCTTTACTGTACGACATGTAGTTTTCAAACCAGTTAAGCTTTTATTGTTTATTCCGTAATGCTCCATTATTTTAAATTAGAATGAAATGATTTACGCCCTTAAAAGCCTTGGACAGACCAATAAAAACTCCTAATGGAAAACAGTCTTCTTTAAAGTCTTTAGATAAATGGTTAACTAACTTTATTATTGCATGATCAGATAAATGTTTTTCTTTTTTTTGAAAGAAAAATGCTTATTGTTTAATTTATCATTTCAATCAAATAACTTTACAGTTTAT